CCGAGTTGTTTGTTGACCTATTTTTTATATGATAATTAATGAAAACCTAAACAATTAGCCTTTGACAGATGAGATAGACTCCGGTGTTTCATGCTTTGAAAGGGAAAATTATGTGTTTTGATTATTAATACTCTGAATTAGAATTACGAATTAGGATTTAGATTATGAATAAGATACCAATCTTTAGCTTAAACATATTGAGTGCAGCTTTTAAATAATTTTAGGAATTGTTAAAAGTTCAGATTTATAAAACATATAATTATTATAAAAGCAATAAAAATGCTCAAGTTTCTGGAGTATATATATATCAAAATATATAAAAAAAAATTCAAAAAAGTTGGCTGAGGTCTACATTTTTTAACGACTTTTCGCTTGTCCTCGGCTAATCGAAAAGTACCATGAAAAATTTGAAATTTTATAGATTTTGAAACTAGTACAGTTATAGTTTTGCCTTGTTAAGTCATTGCTACGCTATAGCATTACCACCAGCTTGTATAAATTCAATTAAACATGCTAGTTTGTGAAAGATAATGGTTTAGATCTTTCCAAACCAAAAAATCTTCATTAAAATTCTCGTCACCTTTTATCATCAAAAATTACTTTCATAATTTTACTCAAGCATTAACTCTTGCGAAAGTCAGTCGCAACATCGTGGTAATCTTTTAAATATTTCTAAAGGTAGAACGTTTGTTGAATTTCAATGACGACAAATCGCACCCATTCCGAAGAAACTAGACCGACATTTCTAAGATTTGTGAAAATTTTCTTGTCATTAATTTCTCAATCGCTAACTTCCAGGTTTCTCTTCCGCTGCAGTTTCATAATCATTATTGATAAAGATGTTTCCATAAATTAAGAAACAAAATGAACATTAATCTGATTTATTTGTTTCCTTTAAGACGCTTTACCTTCGGCAATGTCATCCTGAAGACGTTTTTTTCCCACGTGCTTTGTTTTCTTAATTGAGCTTGTTTCTTCCGTGTTATTTTATCGTAATTATTATTTGATGATTTTGTTGTTCTAAACTATTTGTTTTACGAATGGCAACGAAATATTATGTTTTTGGGAGAAAAGTTGTTTCTTCACTTCCGTCTATTTCCTGCACGACTATTTATTTGGAAAGAGTAATTTGAGGGAAGAAAATTATTTTTATTAATTTAAATATGTTCTTGCTAGACAATCGCTATATTTAATTAAAAAGCTTGATACAGAGCCTTCACTTTAAAAAATTACAGATAGAATCAACAAAAAGTCTGATATTTCGTAATTTTTGTAATAATAATTTCTGTAAAGTCACTAAATCACTCTAATTAAGTAAATGTTACTGTAAAAATTACGGTATAATATTTTACGGCAAATCGCAACTTGGAAAAGCGGTAAAACTAAAAATATGGTCATTTTTGTGATGAATTTCAACGAAGTTTCACTGTACACCGGAGGGGGACTCCAAATTGTCATCTTTTTAAGATAACAATATTCTGAAAATCATATTTTATCAATAGAATTTAATGTTCTACAATTCTAGAAATAATACTAGGTGCTCAAAACTCATCCCCCTAACTTTCAGAAATATTAAGTCACTAAACGAGACAAGACAACAACAACAGATGTTCAGTATCTAAAACAATGTGCCAATCGTAAAAAGTATGGAAAACATGTCTTTGGATCTTACCTTAGATCAGTGTTTCCCAAACTTATGACTTTTGTGTACCCTTTCTAAATTTTTCGTTGCGCTGAGTACCCCTAATAAAAAAATGAAGGAATTTTTTACAAAAAATCGCACAAAAAATAAAAATCACAACTGGCTGTGGACACCGCTAATTATTAGCTGTTAACTCTGCAAAAATATCCAATAGAAAAATACGTATAATCGTAAATTTTCATGGCTAGCTTTGTTTTCAAATAAAATGTTTTGAAATTTTCGTTTGTTGCAAAACATTTCGCATAAGAACGCGTACCCCTGCTAAACTGTTCCCGTACCCCTGGGGGTACGCGTACCACACTTTGGGAAACACTGCCTTAGATTGTTAATTCGAGATAAAGAAAATATTTTATAATGTGGCTTTATATTTCATATTTATGAAGTTCAACACCTTGAAAATAGATTTTAAATCATAAATTTTTTTCTTTAAGAAAATAATAAAAAGAATGAAATAAGAATTACAAGTTTAGACAAGCTAGACAAGCTAGATCTTTAAATAAAAACAACAACAGAAACACACCAAAAAGTAACAAATAAAGTTATAATATTCCTAAGAAAAAAAACCTTAATAGTTCTTGGGTTTAAGTTTTGTTGATTCCTCAGTTAATCCGAAAAAAAAAAATAGTATTATAAATTACAAAATTGAATAAGCTACCAAAATCACCATCAAAAACATTAACACACTTTCTAAGTTGTAAGAGCAACGTAATAATCTCGTCTTATATTGCTACTAAGTAGACCTGATCACAAACTAGAGAAACTCTTAGCCACTTTCAAGGGTCATTATTGATGATCTGGATATTCGCAATCATTAATATCCATAACCTATAAAGAGATTGAGTATTACACTTGCCTCTTGAAATCTCTTGGTCGTCAAGAAATGGTGGGAATTTCTGAGGATGACATAGTTTTTAAAGCTTACGGATATTCAGCCAGGACCTAAATGATCTTTCAATGTTAGTTGAAATTGAAACTCTTTGATGTGATACTTATCAGAAACTGTGTTTGATGTTAATATGGATACTTTTGGAGAAGGCAATTGTCATTTGGAATTAAATCGGAGCATTTTTATTATTGAAAAATGGGATTACTTTGAACAATTCAAGGTAAATTCACGTTATAAAGTAATGCATTACGTTTATTTTTAAATTATTTTATAGTTTGGAATTTATTTGTTAGTTTAATTTTTCTTTTTTTTTCTATGCTACTTTGTTCAAAAATCGTATAAAAAGAACGCTTTTGGGAAATTTATTGAAATTTTTTTTTACCTTATTAACCTGTTTTTTCCCCCCATTTTTGTGAGGATTACTTTATTAGCAAAAATTTCATCTGAATTTTAATATTGACATTCCATATGTTTTAAATTTATATGATAATTTCAATTTACACGATAATTTCATTTATATGATAATTTATATTATTTCATTTATATGATAATTATGCTATATTAATGCTTATATTTATACGATAATTTCAATTTTAAATTTATATGATATATTCGAAAGATAATTCTGATATTTTTCACATCAAATTTTGAATATTTTGATTAAACTTTCCGCCTACTGCCGTAACATTAAAGTCTAAATAGTTGAATTATTAAACGAAATAATTATTTTAATTAAAAAGTAAAATAAAAATATTTAGTAATTATAAATTGTTTAATTATGAATGCTATTAATGTGTGGAAAACTAGATTATGAACTAGATTTATGATTGTATATTTTGAGTAAATGTTTATAGTTTATGATCTAAACACATTGCTGACTAAACTTATGATTGTATATTTTAGGTAAATGCTTATAGTTTATGTTCTAAACACATTACTGACTAGACTAATGATTGTATATTTTAAGTAAATGTTTATAGTTGAAGTTCTAAACACATTACTGATTAGACTTATGATTGTATATTTTAAGTAAATGCTTGTAGATTAAGTTACAAACCCATTTATTCTGCTGTATAAAATGTTTTAGTTTATTTGCTTGCAAATAAATGACTAAATCTCTTCTTTCTATATTTGTCGTAATTATATTTATTTACTTTTAATTTATTTTATTCATTTTTGCAGTATTTATTTATTTTTACTTTATTTATTTTTTGTAAAACGATGAGAAGCATGTAATATGAAATATTAATGATCAAAACAAATCTTAGTTTTGAAATTAAAATTTAATTTATTTTCGACGAAAATGGTTTTTTTTTCTGTCTCGTGGTATAAACATAAACGACCATTACAAACTAAGGCAAACAACGTTAAAAAGCACGAAAATATTTATGCTCTTTAACGCTGTTTGCCTTAGTTTGTATTTTAGCACTAAGGTCGCCCACTTGTGTATTTATAAACAACCATTGCAGAAAATTTATTTTATTGCTAAAGCAAAACAACACTTTTCTTTAACGTGACTTATCTATAGTTTTTTTAAAACACCAATTCTGGCAAAACAATGAATATTTGTTTCAATTTGCATAGTGGGCAATTTGCAAGCAACTCATATTTCTCAGGACACTGTTAGCCATTTCTCCCCCCCCCCCTCTGAACTNTGAATTGTATTCATTTATAATATTTGTTTACTTGATCTATAAAATATGTTTGGATTAACCAATTATAAACCGAGATAGTTGAATGTATTATAAATTTAACTCAAACTGCATCAATTTCAAATTAAAATTTATAATTGTCTTTTTGCAAAAAATTTCTCCTAAAAACATTTCCAGCTCAAAAAAAGTTTTTTTCCCTTGTGAATAGCTGAAAGGAAAGTGCATATGTGTGTCAGCTAAGGGTTTAAAAATTATTGCATGAGGTATAAGCATGGCTACATCTCTAACGAATTGATCTTATAAGAAGGAGTGCGATTAATTTAAACTTGAAACTTGCTAAGACATAATTTTTGTTGCTTTAAAAATTTACTAAATGAATTAGTATTGATATATTAGTGCAAGCATTATGTTTTTACTTCATGTTCTTATTTATTTCTATAACGGTATTTTTTGTTTAAAATTTTTTAGAAAGAGTTAATAAATCATTTTTAAAACAAAAAAATAAATATCTCAATTCAATTTAACTCCTTGTTTTAAGGTTGCACATTTGCATTCTATAGTGATGGGACAAATAGGTTTAAACGGGGCCGACATTATAGTTCCAACAATAAACCGATTTTTTGATCAACAATTTTTAATATTTCTTGCGATTTTTCTTTTTATCGTTTGAATATACTATATTCATATTACATACACTATAGACTCAGCTATGTAAAATAATAAATTGTAAAACTGAAATGCATACATATTTTTCTTTTAGGATCAGTAACATGTTATACCAAACCTAAGTTGGAATTAAACATTTTAAAGCCTAATGGCGCCTACGCCAGGACCTATTCCAGGGACAGTAGGTCCAATTGTTCAGGATGATCCCAATTTTATGATGACCCCCAAAAAGGGTGCTACAGTCAGCACCAAAGGGTTACTGAATATGCCTGGTCAAAACAACTGTTTTCTCAACAGTGCCGTACAGGTAAGTCTGGATTATAACAATATATTATTTCTAACAATCTATGTAACATTGAACATTCATTAAACAAAGTATAATTATTATTAGTAACCGATCTTTAATAGTTTTGGGTTGCGGATGAAGAAGAGAGAGAACCTCTATTTTTAAGCGTATAAATTAGAACCTTTATTATCATTTGAGGTACTGAATTGTTCGTTATGCTTAAAAGACGTAAAATTAATTAATACTATCGGAAGTTCTACAATAGAAACTATAAGGATCATTTATTCGTATAGGTTCAGATACATGTTTTTTTAAAAAAGAATTAGTTACAACAAAATAATTTTAACTTAGTATTTAGATGAGTAAGTAAATTCACTGTTAAAAAAGCAATACTGATGACAAAATAATTGTCAGATTTGAAATTGCTTTCTTCATGACCCAAATCGCTTTGGACATTAGATCTTTAAGCTTTATAATCTAAACAATACACCAATTCACTTCTAAACAGGAAATGGAGTAATGAAGTTTGTCAATAAAATATAAAGCCAAATCATAGTTTAAACCGCATAGTCATGCATCCAAATCATAGTTTAAGAAAAGTCACATATCCTGTTAAGCATCCACGTTTTTTTTATTTTTTATTCAATTTGTATGTTGGCTTAGCACTTTTTTATCTGCACTTCATCATGATGTTGCACAGCAGTACACATGTGTACTATTACATAATGTTATACAAACTATTAAAATCTTTTAAGTGCCTATACTTGCAAATACGTTAAGATTTTAATTTTCCAGCATAGACATTGTTTTAGTTGAAAATGTTTGTGAAGATCTGCAAATATTTTTAATTTCCTAACTGATAGTTGAAAAGTAATGAAACATTTTTACTACTTATTTATTTAAATACATTTTGAGAAATTCGTTGATTGATATAACATACAACTCGAAAATTGTTCAAATTATCACCACTAAAAATTATCCAACAATTATCAAATTTAATTATATCACCTTTATAGTTATCACGTCACCTTTATAGTTATAACATATATTATCATATTGAATTATGTCCTCGATATAACTATCATATCAACACCAACATAATTCACATATGGAATTATTACAACGACACAATTATATTGAGTTGTAACGTCGATACAATTATTATATTGATTTATAACACACATACAATTATCATGTTGAATTGTATAACCGATGCAATTATCATATTGAATTTTATCACTGATACAAATATCGCATTGGGTTATATGATAGATCTTTTTATGGCAGTAAATTCTAACTCTGAAGAAGTTTTTTACTCCCATTTTGCAGTTTAAATACCTAATTTTTCCTTCAGTTTTCTCACAATTAGAAAATCGTTGGGACTTTAATTAAGCATTGCGAAATATATTTTATAGCTCCTATTATAAATTATCGTCGAACATTGTAAAAGTAAGTTTCATCCGTTGAGCGTTCCGTCCTATTTGATCTAACGTTCTATTGTAATATTTTTTTCCACTTGTAAACTCTATTTCAGTTACCATCTTGTTTACAAGAAGAACCATCATTGCCTTGAATGGCTCTCTGCTGATTTCCTTTGCAATTAATTTTATTTCCCCAGTCGTTTTTACTCCGAATTTACACTTTAAATACCTATTTTTTTCCTTCAGTTTTCTCACAATTAGAAAAATCGTTGGTACTTTAATTAAGTATTGCAAAATATATTTTATAACTCCTATTATAAAAATTATCATCGAACATTGTAAAAGTAAGTTTCATCCGTTGAGCGTTCCGTCCTATTTGATCTAACGTTCTATTGTAATATTTTTTTCCACTTGTAAACTCTATTTCAGTTACCATCTTGTTTACAAGAAGAACCATCATTGCCTTGAATGGCTCTCTGCTGATTTCCTTTGCAATTAATTTTATTTCCCCAGTCGTTTTTACTCCGAATTTACACTTTAAATACCTATTTTTTTCCTTCAGTTTTCTCACAATTAGAAAAATCGTTGGTACTTTAATTAAGTATTGCAAAATATATTTTATAACTCCTATTATAAAAATTATCATCGAACATTGTAAAAGTAAGTTTCATCCGTTGAGCGTTCCGTCCTATTTGATCTAACGTTCTATTGTAATATTTTTTTCACCTGTAAACTCTATTTCAGTTGCCATCATTGTTTACAAGAAGAACCATTATTGCCGTGATTGGCTATCTGCCGATTCCCTTTGCAATTAATTTCATTCCCAGGTAATTTTGGATAAGCTTGCAGGGGTCTGTTTAGAAGAAATTTGGGTCCGTTAACGGACCCTTCACAAAATATCTTTCCATAAAAACGGACCCTTCACAAAATATTTTAACTTAAAAACGGACCCTTCACAAAATATTTTAACTTAAAAACGGTCCCTTCACAAAATGATTTTTCTTTTAATCGGACCCTTCACAAACTTGTTTATCTTCATTATTATTTTGTTAATCGAATAAACCCTTTCCAGGGTAGAAAAAAAGAAAGATGGATGTAAATGAATTAAGTTTTGTCTTCGGCAGACAATTCTTCCATTATTCGTCCGAAATGAATATTCTGCGTACAGCAGTATAGGCTAAAATACCAAATATTTGTATGTTGCATCTCTAATTTAGAAGCAGCAATTGTTGTTTATTTTTTAAAATTTAATTTTTTTAATTATAATTTTACAGTGTTGAGCATTATCATGCATGTCTTTACAATTTAAAAACTCCTTGAAAAAGTTTTTTTTTTTGCAATAACGGACCCTATTTGCACAAATTCATAAAAGCGGACCCTGATTGAAAAAATGTGAGTAATTTTTTCACAATTTCACGAAAAACGGACCTTTCACAAAATGTCTGGACAGACCCCTGGCTTGTTACATGGTGTGACGGTATAACAATAGGCCCAGTCACAATCCTCATCAACTGTCTTCCAACAGGTGTATAATTCTCTTTCTCGCGCAGCGATTTTTAATTTCTCTTCGGACTCCTGACAAGATCTAAAGCCTCAAACATCGCTTTGATCAAAGAAAAAAAAATTAAAACCGTGTGTTTTTTTGCCGATTGCAATTAGGCATAACGAGTAAGATTGCAAGGTGGTGGTTGGTAAATCGTTATTTTTTTCATTGCCTTCTAACGGGCCATCATCCTTTGCTTCTAACTCGTTCATGCATAAACCTCTGCTCATCAAATAGAAGAGATCTAAAAAATTCCCATCCAATCCTGGTTTATGCCTTGAGGGCATCAGCATCAACCGGTCTTCTAAATCTGTAAGGATTTATTATATTTTGCATTTACACGCAACTGTTGTTACTCCACGACACGACAATTCGAACAGTTTTTTTTTTTTCTTCCTGCGAAATGGTGCTCTTTTGCGAAGAAAAATAAAAAGAGGCTCGTAGTGAATTAAACTCGTTGCAAATCTTTAATTTTTAACATATCGTGGAAAACATAATCGTCTGGACTTAAAACAAAACGGACAAACGTCTTAAATGCATGCAAAATTACACTAGTTTTAATCATCAGTTTGACGAAATTTTTTCCATTTAGATAAAAAAAATTATTAAACTCAATAAGTTTTAAATTTTTGCCTTTTTTTAAAAAATAAGTCCAAGCGATGTAGAGATACAGTAACATTCGAAACATCATAAAACAATTCGACAAAACTTTTATTTTCTTCACAACTGTAGTTTTCATTCATGTTGACAACTTATGTCAGCTTGACGTAATTTGTAAACATTATTTTGCATAGAACGTGCTGGTTAAAAATTGACAAAATATAACCTGATTGAAATAAATAACATTTACAAACTTACCATATTTTAAATGTAGCCTATTGCTAAAATGCTATATTTTGCATGACGACAGAGCTTTCAAATAACAGCTCCCTTTTTTTTGTGACATTAAACCTTACCGTATTTTTTCGTTTTGAGTAGCTTAAATATGGAGGTTCTGCCTCACTTTTAAGATTGTACCCCCCCCCCCTTAAGGCTGTCTTAACTAGATTTTCTCTTCTACAGATTTGATACAGTGTAATTTTCTTAATGTTTTATAATTGGTACATTCACTTATGAATTTTCAGATCTATATAAGTATCGCTTTCAATGCAATGTAAACATTATTTCCTGGATGTTTTTCAGAAAAAATAAGTAAATTAATTATAATGCATTAACGTCAGACACTAACAAAGAAAAATTATTTTCAATTCTACTCATATCATCTTTTAACCCTTTGAGGCAAATGGGATACCGGTGTCCCGTATGTAAATTTTTTTTTCTGACGCTTTAATTAATAGCAAAAATATATTTTGGTATTTCTTAAATTTTAAAAACCAGTCTTAAAAGTTACCAAAAAATTTTTAGATTATCGGAGTTAAACTCGTAGTAAAATGTAAAAACCTGAAAAAGGAGTTAAATTTTTTTGTAAATGGTGGTAGATAATTTTTTCAAAGTGATATTGTTTAATAATAAAATATCCAATAAATATATCAACTGCTCCTAAATAACGGGACGTTTTCGAAATAGTTGATTTTCCCTTTCTATCGATTAAATATTTGCTACAAAAATTTTTTTCCTCTCTTTTTAAAGTTTGGCCCTGAAATTTATATGTTTTTCTTTTATACGCATATGCTAAGTTAAACAATTTTTCCCGCGGAAAATGAGCTTCTCTAGCGTTAGATTTGATGAACCAGCTATGCAAGTATTTTTTCTTTGTTTTTCATATTACTTTGATAACTTTTTTGTTATATTTCTTTACGTTGAGATGAATATTTTTTCTTCTGTTGTTTTGATTGTTACGATTCGTATCACACACAACGCCAAGGTTGGGAAAAGTCATGAGATTTCTTTTCTAGTTATTTTAACCCTTTGTTTTGTTTTGCAACACCTGCTGCCGCCAAATTACGATGAGAAAATCAAGAGAATAAAACAAATCTTTTTTTTATATTTTTAATTGTAAAGTGATAATAGTTGTTAATATGTTTAAAATGAAACTTCGTTTGGAAAGTGCGAATTTT